GTCACGAGTGGTGTCCCCCAGGGCTCGGTTTTGGGGCCACTCCTGTTTAACATCTTTATTGATGATCTAGACGAGGGGATCGAGTGCACCCTCAGTCAGTTTGCAGCTGACACCCAGTTGGGTGGGAGTGTTGATCTGCTCGAGGGTAGGGAGGCTCTGCAGAGAGACCTGGACAGGCTGGAGCCATGGGCTGAGCCCAACTGGGGGAGTTTCCATAAGGCCAAATGCCGGGGGCTGCCCTTGGGCCACAACAACCCCCAGCAGCGCTACAGGCTTGGGGAGGAGTGGCTGGAGAGCTGCCAGTCAGAGAGGGACCTGGGGTGTTGATTGACAGCTGCCTGAACAGGAGCCAGCAGTGTGCCCAGGGGGCCAAGAAGGCCAATGGCATCCTGGCTTGTGTCAGCAATAGCGTGGCCAGCAGGGACAGGGAAGGGATCTGACCCCTGGACTCGGCACTGGTGAGGCCGCCCCTCGATTCCTGTGTTCAGTTTTGGGCCCCTCACTACAAAAAGGACATTGAATGACTCGAGCGTGTCCAGAGAAGGGCAACGCAGCTGGTGCAGGGTCTGGAGCACAGGTCATACGGGGAGCGGCTGAGGGAACTGGGGGTGTTTAGTCTGGAGAAGAGGAGGCTGAGGGGAGACCTCATCGCCCTCTACAGCTACCTGAAAGGAGGGTGCAGAGAGCTGGGGATGAGTCTCTTTAACCAAGTAACAAGTGACAGGACAGAAGGGAATGGCCTCAAGTTGCACCAGGGAAGGTTTAGACTGGATATTAGGAAGCATTTCTTCATAGAATGGGTTGTTGGGTGTTGGAATGGGCTGCCCAGGGAGGTGGTGGAGTCCCCATCCCTGGAGGTGTGTAAGAGTTGTGTTGACATAGCGCTGAGGGATATGGTGTAGTTAGGAACTGTCAGTGTTAGGTTAATGGTTGGACTAGATGATCTTTGAGGTCTTTTCCAACCTAGATGATTCTGTGATTCTGTATCCTCCACACAGACGGTGCTACTGCTCCTCTGCTCTCTCACCCTTCCCTTTTGCCCCTACACCAGCATGCTCAGTATCTGGGAAGCTTTGAACAACCCAGCATTGTTGCTTTATCAATTTACTCAACAGACTTTAAAAAATACTTTTCAAGGTAGACAATCCTTTTATCAAATGCTGGCAGCACTCACTGCTAGAGGGAACTTTTTGAGCCAGCAAGCATATCTGGTACTTGCACAGGTGAGGAATTAAAAGCACTGGTTCAAGCCAACTGCAGTGAAAGCAAGAGGTCTGCTCTTCTTCCCTACAGACACTCCCAAACACCTTTCCACCTCCACTTCATTGCTGGGACTCTGAAGGAAGAATAGTAATTACAATAATTTGCATAAAACGGAGATTTTTCTGAGTGGAGGCTTACAGCTGGTAATGAGAGGCAAGCTTACACTGAAGTTATAAGGCAGGAATTGAGAAATTTACTATTCAAAACCTTGTCCTGGTTTTGGCTGGGATAGAGTTAGTTTTCTTCCTAGTAGCTGGTATAGTGTTGTGTTTTGGATTTAGTAGGAGAATAATGTTGGTAACACACTGATGCTTTTAGCTGTTGCTAAGTAGTGTTTATATGAAATCAAGAATTCTTCAGTTTCTCATGTCCTGCCAGTGAGAAGGCTGAAGAGGCACAAGAAGGTGGGAGGGGACACAGCCAGGACAGCTGACTCAAACTGGCCAAAGGGATATTCTATATCATAAAATGTCATGCCCAGTATATAAACTGGGGGAAAGCTGGTTGGGGGCTGCTGCTCGGGAACTGGCTGGGTATTGGTATATGAATGGTGAGCAATTGCTTTGTGCATGACTTGTTTTGTATATTCTATTTTTTTTAGTATTATTAATTTTTAAAAGTTATTGTTATTACTACCTTTATTATTAGTAGTATAATATAACAAACTGTCTTCATCTCAACTCATGAGTTTTTCTTTTTTTTTCTGATTCCTTCCCCATCCCCCTGGGGGGAATGAGCGAGTGAGCGGCTCGGTGGTGCTTAGATGCTGGCTGGGGTTAAACCATGACATACTTGCACCAGTTTCCAACCTGTTGGAATTGTTGGGGCTGTTAGCATTAATTCATGGTTGATACTAAGACAAAAAAAAGCCAAAACCATTTCAGCCATGAATATTTTCCAAAACTTTTTTAAGATACTGTGTCATATCAAAGTGTCAGAGAATGAGAGGGCAAAGTCACTTGAGGAAAAATTAAACAGATAGCAGAATACACACGTAGTAGTTTTCTTTTTCCATAATGAATAAAGGAATTGAGCACAGACAGAAAAGGTAATCCAAAATACTACAAAAGGGAATCAAATGCTATAGCTTGATATCAGGAAAATAGTTTACAATATTGATACAGTTTGTTGAATAATTCCTGACCTCCATATTTTTTGTGAGATGTTCTGACAGCTATTTGTCCTCCACTCTTTCTGTCATATTCTATGACTTGCTACCTCCCACTGCCCAAATTCATTGCTTTACTGAAGACTGTCAAACTAGTTGTGAAACAACCATTGACAGAACAGATATCCACACCAATACAAAGCAAAACTTAAATTACAGGGGCTTTTAGTCTAAACTCTTTGCTCCTACAAGCCACATGAAGCTTAAGAGATCAACCAGGCATTGTCAAAAATAAGTACTGCTTGATGACAAGTTCTTGAAAGCGTATTTTTTAGAAAGAGCTTAGCTAAAATAAGCAGCAGAGATGACTGCAGCAGTTAGCAGCCTCCCATGGAATAGGTTTGGGAAAATTTTACAGGGTGTAAGTGGTTGATCAGCTTCAAACATGGGAAATGGAAGCTGGGTATTACTGATCATACTTACTGCAACAAAAATGTAGTTGCTTTGAAGGAATACTCAATGTATTCAATAAAATTAAATTCAGCTTTAATACTTTTTTTTTTTTTTGGTCTGGGAAAACACCTCTTCTACAGCTCTTAGTCATACATGTTCTACTATATGGGTGATCTACCATAAAAAAATCCTGACAAATTACAAAATACTATCTATTCTGTGTTTTAACCAATAAAACAAAAAAAACCATGGTAAGGATGTGCAAGTGTATATATCAGGATGATCGTCTTTAAATATACCAGCACACTAAACTGCTAATACAAAAGAAATTTGATTGTCTGCCTGACATTTAATTTGGAGTCTAGAAAAATGCCCTGCACATTCACAATGCTCAGTCTGACGTGAGGAATTCAGACTTTCTCCTAGGAGGTGGTAATTTAAATGTGCATGAAAAAAAATGCACCTTTTTCTCTCCCATGAAGCAATATTTTGGAAGAAATTACCCATTTTTTTTTCCAGAAACACTTAAACACTATGCATCAGCAAGAATTTGGACTGATAATCAGTAAAAGATGAAAAATGTGTACTTACAGGTAGTAAGCACTTTTCCCTAAACAATTACTTTGACTCTGGTCTATGTTCAACAGACATTCAAGACATACAGAATGCCTTCAAAACCTAAGACTAAAATCTAGCTCCACTAAATGCCAAAACCTATGGACTCAGGACAGCTGGTTTTATGGCACATTAGACTTTTCTGATATTATAATTCCTGCTACCCTTCCCTCCAACAGGCACTGTGTTCCGGGTGTTAAACTGTCTTTTTTTGTTGCTGTCAGACCATTGCTTCTTTTTAATCATAAACTTCTTTACTACCAAGGCCCTCATAAATAATTTACGTAGCTATTTAAATGCATGGCTTGTATCACTGACATAGAAAAACCATTCACAACCAGTACTCAGCACAAGGTTTTTCTGCTTTTGATTCCAATCTGAAGAAAGAATTGGTGGTCAAAATTTTGACTGTTTTTTCCAACCACATAAGTTGGTCCAAGAGA